CAGAGTTCAGCTTATTGGCCCAGAAGTTCAGTTGACTTAAAGCAAATAATTCCATGGAATTACACCAGTTTTGTTCTAGACGAGCACTCACCCCACTGAAAGTAGCTGAAGGTCTCGGGATCAGTGCTGGAGTGGCTCTGTGCAGACCTGCTCTTCAACCAGAGCCTGTGTTGTTGACTTAGCCCTTGCTCAGGGAAAGGGCCATTGACTTCAGTGACACAGAATGAGGCGTTACGGACCTGGAGACGTTCTGACCCGCCCTGTCAGGGGGCATTTTATTGAGATTGAGAATGCCCTGAACTGTGGGCAACAGCCAGCATGCTTCACCTGTGACAGAGCAAGGATGGGTTCCTCAGCTGGTGTAAACACATGCAGGAGAACTGATTTCAGTGGAGTTAGCCCAATATGCACGTGCTGAGGGTCAGCCCCTTGACACCCYCCCCCCCCCCCCAAACTAATTTTTGCCAATATGTCTCTATGCAGATAAATTCCCAAAGCTTTTATTATCATGCCTTTTCTACTGAGTATGCCAATGAAGTGATTGATGTACCATAATCCTTGCCTGCAAGAAAATATTGTACTTTGCAAAGCTATGCAGTACRGAGCACGTCATAAAACTGCTTTAGACCACAGAGTCTGGAAAAGCATTATCAGAAACTAGATGACCAGAGTAGCTTTTTATCTGATGTCGATTACACTTTCACTTTGCTCTCCCACCGCTGAGATTCTGACATATGGAGTGAATGATTGTTGCCTGTTTCTGATGACTGTGGGCCAAAGCTTCGGCTGTGCCGCTAAGTAGCTCCATAGATGTCAGTGCTGATTTACACCAGCTGAAAAACTAGTCCTCTCCCTTCTCAGGCTGTGTTATATGGCCTAATGCAGCTTTATAAATATATACTCAAGCTGAGTATATATTGAACTCTTCTGATTAAGCACCAGATAATCTCTGCTAAAAGAATTGGAGGGTAATTTCTGCCTGCTGTCTAGGCTTGCATATGTTTTGGTTTTAACTAAAAGGCATGTTGCAATTTCATTACCTCTGAGTTTAAATATTTACTGGCATCAGCATTAGCTTGCATAGAAAAATGGCAAATAAATTCAAATGTGTCATAAATGCGGTCGATCTAGAGATGGAATCTGTTGCTTTAGTTCAAAGACATCGCAGCAGGCTACAGGGTGCTTTCTAAGCCAAATGGGCTTTGTACACTGAGAAGTCATGGCAAATATTTATCCAGGCCCAACTCTGCCCCTCGAGCATCTTAGTCTGCAAGTTGCTCCACTGGAATTGCAGGAATAATTCAGTGTGCAGCCGTGCTTAGCACCCAGATCACAGAATAGGGTGCTGCATTCGTTAAATTGATGCAATCAGGAATTTAATTTTAGCCATATGTGTAACTTGAGGACATTCAAAATAATGTATGTTTTATYTAAACTGATAGTCTTTGTAATTCCATAAAATATAGGGTTATATTTTTGTCCTACCTGAACTTCTGACATCTCTAGATTGCATATTTTCTGCTGAATTTTAAATGCTGTTCTTTTCTTTTTTGACATACTCTAAAGGCCTAGAACATATCATCACAAAATAGAACATGAAGTCGAAAGATCTATTTTTTAATTTTGTGTTAGCTGGTTTGTGTTTTGTCTTTGCCTGTAGAGCTCCCTAAAAGTGTGAGCATTTAAAAAAAGGCTCAGCTGAACTTAAATTGTTTCCTGACTTCAGAAAAAGAAAAAAGCAACTGGAATTCAGGAAAACTCTGGCAAACTAAATGGATGTTTGCGCTTTTTTAGTTGTCCTCTTTTTCTAACCTAGCAAGGTTGCAAGTCTAGCGTTTGCACTCTCTTGCCTACCATTTCTGGTGGTTTTAGCAGATAACTTTTGTTTTTCTTTTGTGTGTGTGTGTGTGTGTGTGTGCGTGCACGTGCGCTTGTGTGTGTAGAAGTAACCAAAATATCAGGAAAATTTACACACGCTTTCTGCTGGTTCCTGGAAATAGAGCAACATGATGACCTTATGGTCTTCCAGCAAAAGTCAGATTTAATTTCTGCATTGCAGTGCAACTTAATTAGCTATTGGAATTAGATTACACTTTACTCAATGCCCTTTACCTTGCGTTCTTCCTTTTTATTTACTATTGAACTAGCCTTTTYTTTTTTTTCTCATGTGTGCAAATCTCGTATCAATAATCATTGCAATTTCACAAGGTGTCTTTGTTCGGAACAAGCATGTTATTCTTGTAAAGTTTTAAGTATAAGTTGTTTTGTACAGACCAAGGTAACTGTTAAAATGTCACGCAATTACTGAAATGTTGTATAGTTATAAAAGTTTGATTTCTTTTGCTTTATATGTATAAAATTGTATCTTGCCTGTTTTGCTTTGTATTTCCTACGTGTTGCACAATTATGCATTTTGTTTACATTTGTTCCTTCTTCAAAAAAAAAAAAGAAATAACAGTAATACTTTATGTACAAACATTTTAAATGTACTTTTGTTGTTTTTAAACACAATGTGTCTGTATAAATAATATTGGTTGAACTGGTACATTTGTGTCTCTCATAGAGGGATTAATTATACTGCCAGTGCATTGAATTATTTAAAAAAAAAAAAGTAAAATAAAATTTTTATGAAAATGTAGCCCATTTTATCATTACAAATTATTCTGTCTCCTCTGTTTGCTCAGCCCTCCCCAGGATACAGCAAGTATGGAACRTTAATACCGTTTGTGGCAGAGTTGTCACCAGTTTGAATTTTTAATGGATGTGTTTGTGTCATTACGGAGTCTTCAAGTGACTCAGTGTTAGAAAAGCACGGCGGGCTGTGAGGAAACAGGATCGATAATGTGGTAGCTCCGTCCCCGAGCAGGCTCGGCTGCAGGACAGCAGCTGGAGGTCCCTGTGTCCCAAGCCCGACTCCCAAGCAAAGGGGCCGYGATGGCCCTCTGGAAAAGGCCGGGGGAGCCGGCCTGGTCCACAGCAGCTTTGGACCTGGTGTCACTAAGGGCCCGAGACCCCCTCAGCCCCTCCTAGGTGGTCCAACAGGAAAACGCAGTACCGGTTTCATGTGATGGAGAGAAATTTCACTTGGCAGCTGCATTTCAAGGGGAATTTAGATAACTGTTATCCTTTTGACTAACAAAGGTACATGTGCATGGGCACTTGCAGGGCTCTTTCYCCCATGCTGCATCCATGAGGGATGGGCTGGGAGGACTTCAGGAGCGCTGCTGCAGATGCGCTCGGCACACGAAACACATGTGAGGCTGATGCTGAGCAGAGGGCCTTGSGCACGTGAGCTACAGAAAAGCCCTGCTGATGTTTATAGAGCTGTGTATAAAGCGTGTCCCTCTGAAACTGAGACAGGTTCCCCTCTCAGCTGGGAAACCCCAGACCCCTAAGCACAAGGGATGAATTAGTAGGTCAGACCTCAGGAACTGAACTGCAGAAGAAAAGATACTACCTGACAGCACTGGCCTTTTTTCCTAGACTAGAAATACTTGGCAAGGCCTGGCAATAATCTCAAGGGTCGGTTTGCCTCCATATTATGTCATCTGTCTGTGCAACCAGCTCTGGAGCTGTTCACTGCTACTTCCCGATTCCACAGCTCAGACACACGTTTGTTTGAAGGGCTTTCAGGCACGTTGGGCCTTTGATGGCCTTGGCGGTGATTTACAACGGCTCGCACACAGCTGCCTGCAAATGGGGCTGCTGGCATCCCGAACATCACGTAAGACTTTGTTCAAGATCTTACATTTTTGAAGAGAAAAATCTGAGTGGAAAAGAGGAAGAAAAACCAACACACACCCTGCCATTCACTCCCCATTTTCCAGCCAGCTTCACACAGCTGGAATTGAGGTGAGGGCTGTAAGGCCGGATGATACYGTGAGTGAGGGATGCAGCAGGAGGTGAGGAAGCAACATGAAATGCTCCATTTTTCTGAGAGCTAAATTTTGCTTCCTGCATGCCAGGTGATTAGATCCCTTTTGCCATCCAACCCACTTGGAACCCTCCATGCCAGCAGCTCCTGGCCAGCACTAGCCCTTAAGGACAGTGCAACATTTAAAGCCCCATGTCACATTGGAAGGGTAATCGCAAGGCAGGGTACATCCCGCATAA